TATGGTGAGTGCTGTGAATTGTGTAAGACTGTTGAATCACAGACCTGTACCTCTGAAACAAATAATACATTATATGTTAAAAAAAAAAAAGAAGAAGAAGAAGATAGCAGAAGGGAAGAATAAAGGGGGGGGAATCAGAGGAGGAGACAAACCATGAGAGACTATGGACTCTGAGAAACAAACTGAGGTTTCTAGAGGGGAGAGGGTGGGGGAATGGGTTAGACTGGTGATGGGTATTAAAATGGTACATACTGAATGGAGCACTGGGTGTTATACGGAAACAATGAATCATGGAACACTACATCAAAAACTAATGATGTAATGCGTGGTTTTTAACATAACATAAAAAAAAACTAATGATGTAATGTATGGTGATGAACATAACATAATAAAAAAAAGAAAAAAAAACAATGCAGTGTTTGTGAGGTCAAGTTAAGATGTAGGATGATGGATAGGTCTCACCCACGCCCTCTTTCCTTTCCCAAAATGGACCATTAAACATGCCAGCACCCACGATAAGTATAAGGACTCAGTGTTGTGAGTTTGGGAAATTCCTTTCTTCTCCAAAGAAAATAACAGGTGCACAACTAGAAATTATATGTTAGAAGTTTACACCACTACTGACAGGTTCCATGGAAAATGGAGAAAGGCAGATAGCCAATTCTATTGTGACCATGACAGACGCCCACACTGAGTAAATCTGAAGGCTAAAGGTCAACGTACAAGCACAGAATGAGGCTGCTGTCAGCCTCTATGTGGAAAGGCTCCTTAGTTTTAGATTTTTCTAGAATGAGTAAAATAGCATAGGCTGGTGCAGACTGTAGAAGTTGCAACAAGCATTGTGTTTAAGGTGAATGGACATGACTTGGTTCCGATGAAGACAGCCTACCTGGGAGCTCCTTGAATGGTGAAGGCCTTGTCAGCGTGCTGGTCACCCAGCTTCGTCATCACTTCATACAATTTGTGGCAAAGCTAGAGGGACAGAGACCATTTGTCTATTAGCTGTAAGTCATTCTGGTGCCAATTCAGGCTAATGCTCCAAGAAAGGAACTGTCTACTGAGAATCTTACAGGAGTGTGGACGGTCTCAGGATAACTTAAATTCTGCGAATGGGAAATTTAAAACTCATGTCAAAAATGAAATGCCACAAACACAAATAAACCTTTAGAAAACCAAAATATATTCATTAATCAGAAGATAGAACAGAAAACGAAAACTTACTGCTCCCATTGAGTCTACTAGAGATAAAGTCATATGACCAACCCTGCTGAACTCAGACATTAACTGCTGATTGTTTGAGTGTTCAGACACTCATTTCTCCTCAGCCTAAAAAGTACCACTTGAATGCCAACTTTCAAGCCTGACTAAAAACAAAGCAAAACAAGACTGTGAGACTGGGACACAGAGAAAAAGCATCTCAGAAGAGAAATGGAAACAGCCCATGATTCCTGAGAGCGGGTTGGTACAACCAAAGAAAATCTGGACAAAATAGAGAGAACTATGTGGTCACTACACAACACTGGAGAAACACCACTGGGCGTAATAACGCACCATGAAAACAAACACACAGGTGACGATGCCATGCCATTTCATTCGTGGTCAGAAAAAAAAGTCATTTATTTTATACTCCGCAAGTAAAAATAATCATCATCACTCACCACTGCGATTTCCTTATGAAACTTGGCCTCGAGGCTGGAAACATTTTTGAAAGTGTTGACGTAAAACCCGACTCGTCTACCATGTGGAGACACAAAGGGGAAAGAAGAGTAGGGAAAGATCAGTCAGCAAAACTGCATTTTTAATGGCAATAAAATGCATTAGGGACAGGTTTTCTCTTTGTAATGTTGAATTAACATTGGACCGAATCTTCTGGCATGGAGCAGAACCTCTCCTAACGCAGCTGACGCCCAGAGACAGTGGTGCGCAGCTGGAGGTGTGTTTCTGATTCAGCAGGTGTCAGGTGGGGATGGAGGATTTGCATTTCTCACAAGCTCTAGGTGACACTGAGGCTGGTGCAGAGAAAACGCTTTCAGAAACGTGGCCCTAAGAGGTTGTTTGTATTTTAGAGGTGTGTCTTGTAAAGGGCTGGAAATAGAGAAGTTTACCATTAATTTTTATACCCTATGCGTGGTCTCGTTTTGGATTCTGAAAAATGTTTGATAGGGGGAAACAGAAAACTGCCAGTTCATTACAATTCCTCAGCTAAAGTAAGAGTGCTTTCACGGAGCAAACAGAAACACAAGCTGTCCATTCATAATATCATGAACATGTTTGTGAAGCAAAACAATGGGGTAAGGGTGTTCTGGGATAGGAGAGTTTTAGGTCCCTAATAGTAAGCACACCCAGCAGCTTCCTAAAAGCGGGTTGGTACAGCTGTGGATTCAGCCTGGTACCTCCTGTATGGGCTCCCTTTTCTCTAAATGAGGGCCCTTTGGACTCTATTAATTCAACCCTTCTGAATCCATCTAGTAATTACTACTTTGATTTAATTCATGTTCTTGTTTCAATAACATTCTCACCAGAACCCTGATTGGTTCATTTGATTCCAAATCCCAAGTAAGGACTTAGGTGCCAGAAACATTAGATAGGCCGCATATATGGAATAAACATATGCTCGGGGGGCGAGGGGGTTGTAATAAGAATATTTATTTGGGGGGAGTAAGAATGTGCCTGTACACAGTAGGACCCCTCTTATTTAAACAATGACATGAGGGGTGCCTGGATGACAATGGTAATGACAGTTAAGTGTCCGATCCTTGATTTTGGCTCAAGTTATGATCTCAGGGTCGTGGGATCAAGCCCTGCATGGGGCTCTGTGCTCAATATGGAGTCAGCTTGAGACTCTCTCCCTATCCCTCCTTCTGTCCCTCCCCTGGTTCGTGTTCGTTCGCTCGCTCTCTCTCTCTCTCTCTCTCTCAAATAAATGAATAAAATCTTTAAACAATGACATGAAAGGATAGAGAAAAGGGGGCTTCCCGTTTCCCTGTGCACTGTGATGAGCAGGATTCCAATAAGCAGAGGTGGATGAATGTTCCATCATCATTAAAGCTGATAGAAAGAGCAGTCATCTAAACACTTTACATATTCCCTCACTAAATTCTTGTAACTACCCCCGGGGTAGTGAGCCTCAGTTTATATTCTGGTCAACTGAGGCACAGAGAGATTAACTGTCCAAGGTCTTGCAATTAGTAAGTGGAGACCCTTTGGGCCCCAAAGGAGGAAAACCAATAGAAAAACATGCACTGTTAGCCAAGAAATTCTGCTTAAGTATGAATATCATTATTTCTGTGCTTTCTGATGAAATCAGGTGATTCAGAATTTTAATAATAAAAATCGAGATTCAGAGATGAAATAATAGGTAAGTACTATGTGTATCCCACCAGTAAGACTTACCTTTTCTGTGGCTTAAATTACTGTACCTTAAATTCCTACCACATTCCACTTAATTTTTTTGACTTTTTATAAGACTGGTTTATTTGGGTTTCCTTCATTTTTTTCAGTTTTATTGAGGTTTTACTGACAAAATGTAAGATATTAAAATTGTGCATTGTGGTGACTTGATATACAATCATGAGGGATTCTCCCTATAAGGTGACACAGCTATCACCTCATACATTTATCTTTTGTGTGAACATTTCTACTCTCTTAGCAAATTTCAATTATATAATATAATGTTACCAACTAGAGTCACCATGTTTTACATTAGATGCTCAGACCTTATGCATCTCATAGCTGTGGGTATCCTTTCACCAACCTCTCCCTATTTTCCCCACCTCCTAGTCCCTGATACCCACTTTTCTACTTCCAATTTCTATGAGTTTGCCTTTTTTTCCTTCAGATTCCACATATAAGTGATATCACGCAGTATCTCCTCACACCTGTTAAAATGGCTATCATCAAAAAGACAAGAGATAACAAGTATTGGCGAGGATGTAGAGAAAAGGGACCCCTCACGCACTGTTGGTGGGAAGATAAGTGGGTATAGCTACTATGGAAAATTCCTCAAAAAGTTAAAAACAGAACTACCACTGGATCCAGCAATCCCACTGCTGGATAGATTTCTGAAGGAAATGAAAACAGAATCTCGAAGACATGCAGGTACTGCCTTGTTCATGGCAGCATTCTTCACAGTAGCCAAGATATGAGAGCAATCCAGGTGTCCATCAACTGGTGAATGCTTAAAGATGGGATACATATATACACACACAAACATATAGGTCATTATGTATGTTATTTCACATCAAAATGAAAAAGAGATGAATTCAGGGACTAATGTTTCTGGCACCTAAGTCCTTACTTGGGATTTGGAATCAAATGAACCAATTTAGGGACACATGGTCATAGGTATTGAACATTACGATTAAGTGGGACATATGTCCTTTTCTGTCTGGTTTGTCTCACTCAGCATGATACCCTAAAGGTCCACCCATGTTATCCCAAATGGCAGAATCTCCTTCTTTCCTATGACTGAATAATATCCCATTGTGTGTATGTGTGTGTCCATGTGTATGTATTTATAGATACACAGATAGATACACATACATATATTAATAAAGAAAATCCTGGCAAAGGGTGTTCAGGGAGGGTCAGACCAGAAGCCTGGGAGAGGAGAGCCTAGTGAGGCAGGCAGACCTGTGCTCTGGGGCCGAGGATCTTCCAGACCATTTGCAGGGCATGGTTGCTTGCAGCCCCTAGCCTTGTCTGAGACAGGGGGATGGAGAGTACCTGCATGGGAGGAAGCTGACTAAAGCAGCAGCTGGGTGGGAGATGCGACTGCAGATGCTCGGACAACACCGCAGAGGGACCAGCTCAATGTCCTGTTTGCAGGCAAGTCTTCCTGGGGCACTTCAAGTGCCAACCCAGGACCCCTTCTCTGGGACCCCCATCAACCACTCATTCCTCATACCTTCCCCTCATTCAATTACTCAACAAAGGGCCTATCCACTCTGGGTTCATGCCTAGTGGTGGGCTCCGGGGGCTCCAGGAACGACAGTTCAGGTAGAGGAGCACCTGAGCGCAGATTCCTGAACACACGCTTTGTCATTCTGGTGAGTCAAAGAAGCAGACTTCAAGACAGCATGTGAATGTTGAAGTTACCACAAAATGGCACCCACAATGAAGTATCAAAAATGAGTAGGTTCAGACAAAAACAGCTAAAGGCACTGAGAAGAGAGGGGAGTAAGTGGAGTAGTAAGTGGAGTCCTTTTGGGTCCAAAGGGTCTCCACTTACTACCTGTGCCAGCTGGGAACATCTGCTTGAGAGGAAAAACTTAGGCTGCCCTGAGGAAGGGTCAGATTTAAATAGAAGGCAGGAGAAGATGCATGGATGGAGGGGCTTAGATGGGGGGCGGGTGTAGATGGACAGAGGGGAATGTAGGTGGATGGAGGGGTGCAGATGGAGGGGGGTGTAGATGGATGGCGTATAGGTGGATGGAGGGGTGTAGATGGGACAAAGGGAATGTAGATGGATGGGAGGGTCTGGATGGATGGGGGTGTAGAGGGATGGAGGTGTAGAGGGATGGGGGTATGGATGGATGGGGGTGCAGATGGACGGGGGTATAGATGGACGGGTGGTATAGATGGATGGGGGTATAGATGGATGGAGGATGTAGATGGGGGGGTGTAGGGTGTAGTTGAACTTCATTGGTGAGTATTGTTTTTATTTTCACTGATTTTTTACTATGGTAAACAAAACCCTAATGAAGATCTATGAATTAAGACTTGGTGCACAGCCCTACTCTTTCCTTAGAATAAGTTTCTTGAATGTAAATGCTGTGTGAGAGGCACAGACCATAGAAGCTTTGATGAGCAGTGCCAAGCTGTTCCCACCTGGGCTGGGTCCTTAGACTCCCTCAGCTTTCAGTATGAAGTTACACAAAACCATTGTAAATTTGATAGGCAAGAGTTAACAACTTGCTGACTTTTACATTTTCATTCCTTTAATTAAAGTTGATACTTTTTTTCAATTTTATTTTATTATGTTATGTTAGTCACTATACATCATTAGTTTTTGATGTAGTGATCTTTTTTGATTTATTTATTAAGCCATTTGTATTTCTTCTTTGAGTCACCTATTCATATTTTGTGTTTATTTCTTAGTGCTTGCTTTTTTATTGTTTATTTGTAAGGGAATTGCTAAAAAACCTATTGATTCTTTGACACGTTTAGCAAAAACAAGAATTCCCAATCTTCTATCTTTAAATTTTGTTTTCTGATATATAGCGATCTTGTTTATATCAATTACTATTGGGGCATCTGGGTGGCTCAGTGGGTTAAGCATCCAACTCTTGATTTCAGCTCATGTTGTGATCTCAGGGTAGTGAGATCGAGCCCTGCATCAGGCTCTGCGCTCAGTGGGGAGTCTGCTTGAGATTCTCTCTCTCCCTCTGTCCCTCCCTGCCGCCCTACTCCCATTCTCTCTCGAAAAAAAAAAAATTCTTTAGAGAAAAAAATTGGTGTGGTGCCAGAAATACCTTGTTTAGAATGACTAAACAAATATCAAGTAATATTTTTATGGTTTATTTTAGAAGTTAAGTCAACTAGGATGTATTTTGAGAAAAAGTGTTGGACATTTTTGACGCAATTCATCAGATAATGGTTTTCTTCAATTTATGTAATCAGAGACTCTTTCGAAGTAGGGACTGCTTCTGACTCATTCACTACCATAGGCCTAGCACCTAATACAGCGCCTGGTCAGAGCAGGCATGCAGTAAATACTCAATGAATGAATGAAT